ATATTAGATTTCGTTCGAGTAGGATGACTAACTTTAATATTATATCGAAAATTTTTATTTTACTTTATATGGAAATTCTTATAACTCTATATATTTATTGACTACTTTTTTCTGTCACAGATAAGAATACAATTTTAATAAGCTACTTGATATAGATAATTGAGAAGGATGATGTCATATTATCTCTAAAGGGGTAATAAAATTTCTACTCTTGAAATGAGTATGTACTCTTAGTGTCTTGCACGACATATAAATTGGCTTCATTAAAAACAATACCTAATCTTATCTAAGAATGAATACAATGTGATTTGTACAAACATTGCATTAATTAATTCTTCATTTGATTCAAATTTTAGAGGGAAAAATCGAAAAAAGAAGTTCGTTTGCACATGTAAACGTCTATATATTCTTTGTTTAATAGTAAAAAAGAGTGGGTAATGTACAAGATTTTCATAGTATTCCTAATATCTAGTTACGGATCAGATACGTTGCAAACAGTTCACATTTAGAGACCATATAAAAATGAGAAACGTTATACTCTGTTGGTCAATGTTTTACTTCATCCTAAACTTATCAAATATATATTGTTCTAAATTCTCTCCACACAGTTTATTTTAGACTTTTCAGAAGCTCATAATATAATACTGACGTCAGATTGGTTTTTGTTTTAATCACTTTCTGTTTAACTTGAGCTTTTAAAGAAACTTATATTTTATAAATATTGTCATACAGTAAACTGTGAACGATAAAATTGGCAATAATCACTTTATTTTATATCCATTGTCTTCATTTTTTAGTAATTTTGATTATGGTATGAGGTATGAAGTATATCTTATTTTACACAACAGGTTAATTCTCTTTTTAACTGGATTAAAACAAACGATGAAAGTGAATTCCCTACAACAATTGGAAACAATAAGCCTAACGACTAAATCGTGGTAAGTAAACAAAATAATCTCTTAATCCAGAGATTATGGTCAATTTCTGATGAGTAATAAGTCGCATCGTGGCCTAAGACTATCCAAATCTTGACAACATGTCAAAAAATAAACATTGACAAGAAATGAAAAAGGTGAATAGGAAGTTTCTTGATTTACGGTCAGCATTGGTCATTCAAGGAAGACCAATTTTCTTGCTGATTATAATAGTAAGGTCATGCAAAGGCGAAATTGAAGTAATTTCACTATAATTTTTTTAATCTAACATTAACTTGAATATATGTAAGCTATCTAATAAGTTTAAAATAAAATGAGATTGGTGTTTCGAGATCCACTAAAAATGTTCCCATCATGATACAATCACAGGCTATCTTTCTTTCTCTCTCTCTCTCTCTCTCTCTCTCTCTATATATATATATATATATATATATATATATATATATATATATATATATATATATATTAAAAGACCGTACACCAGCGTGAATTTAATAATTTAGTCATGGAAATTTACAATTACTTACTTACTTACGCCTGTTACTCCTCGTGAAGGAGCATAGGCCGCTCACCAGCATTCTCCATCCAACCCTGTCCTGGGCAATCCTTTCAAGCTCTTTCCAGTTCTTATTCATTATTTTCATATCTGCTTCTATTTCCCGACGTAATGTGTTCTTTGGCCTTCCTCTTTTCCGCTTCCCTTCAGGATTCCAAGTTAGCGCTTGTCTCGTAATGCAGTTTGATGATTTCCTCAATGTATGACCTATCCATTTCCATCGTCTTTTCCTAATTTCCTCTTCAGCTGGAAGCTGGTTGGTTTTCTCCCACAAAAGGCTGTTGCTGATGGTATCCGGCCAATGGATGTTGAGTATCATGCGTAGACAGCTATTGATAAATACTTGTACCTTCTTGATGGTGGTTGTTGTAGTTCTCCAAGTTTCAGCTCCGTACAGTAGAACTGCCTTGAAGTTCGTATTGAAGATTCTGACTTTGATATTGGTTGAAAGTTGTTTTGAGTTCCATATGTTCTTCAGTTGAAGGAATGCCGCTCTAGCTTTGCCAATCCTCGCCTTGACGTCTGCATCTGAACCTCCTTGTTTATCGACGATGCTTCCCAGATATGTGAAGGATTCCACGTCTTCCAGAGTTTCGCCATCAAGAGTAATTGGATTGCTGTTCTCCGTGTTGTGTTTGAGGACCTTGGTTTTCCCTTTGTGTATGTTGAGGCCTACTGATGCAGAGACTGCTGCTATGCTGGCTGTCTTTATCTGCATTTGTTCGTGTGTATGTGATAGGAGGGCTAGGTCATATGCGAAGTCCAAGTCGTCTAATTGGTTCTGAGCTGTCCATCGTATGCCGTAGTTTCTCTCAGATGTCGAGGTCTTCATAATCCAGTCGACCACCAGAAGAAACAGGAAGGGAGAGAGTAGACAGCCTTGTCTTACTCCGGTCCTTACTTGGAATGCGTCCGTCAGCTGTCCTCCATGCACTACTTTGCACTGTAGTCCGTCGTATGAGTTCCGGATAATGTTGACAATCTTCTCAGGAACTCCGTAGTGTCGAAGAAGTTTCCATAACGTCCTCCTATCTACACTGTCAAATGCCTTCTCATAATCAATGAAGTTGATGTAGAGTGACGAGTTCCACTCAATTGATTGTTCGACGATGATCCGTAGTGTCGCAATCTGGTCTGTGCACGACCGGTCCTTACGAAATCCAGCTTGTTGATCTCGAAGTTGAGCGTCAACTGCATCTTTCATCCTGTTCAGTAACACTCTGTTGAAGACTTTACCCGGTATTGACAGTAGTGTAATGCCTCTGTAGTTTTCACACTTGCTCAGATCTCCTTTCTTTGGAATCTTGATGAGGTGTCCTTCTTTCCAATCCATCGGCACTTGTTCCTCCTCCCAAATCTTCTTGAATAGAAGATGAAGCATGCTTGTAGTTACTTCGATGTCTGACTTCAATGCTTCAGCTGGTATATTGTCAGGTCCTGCTGCTTTCCCGCTCTTGATTTGTCTGACGGCCATTCTGATTTCTTCTGTCGTTGGTGGATTGACATTTATAGGAAGATCTGTGTGTGCTGCTTCGATGTCCGGTGGATTCATTGGGAAATTTACAATAAGAGGACTTAAATCCTGGTAACTTTGTACAGCCTTTGAACGAAAGGTGAATAATTTAACACAACCGATTGATCGCGTAATGGAATGATTGTTTGAAGTGACAGATGCTAGCATTTATTTTTGTTGGATCTGCAAAGGCACATTACGATATAGAAATTCAATTCACAAGTATTTATTTTATTTATTTATTTGAACACATAAATATTGGTACGAAAGGGGCACCGAATACATACACGCCACACAATTCACCTGATTTGTGTGTGAGCTGTGATACCACCCGGGTGCGCATACCGAAACAGGTGGTTTTCTTAGGGGGCCACACCCCGAGCCTTCGACCTAAAGGTCTGATCCACAAGGCAGTGGAGCAACGTCTGAAGATGCAGTCCCGTGGTAGCTGGTGACCAACGATTGGTTCATACGCCATTTGTTCCCGCAGCATACTGGAGCCCATGTGCATCATTGGTTTGGAATCAGGGTTTTCCAACTCCCCTAGGTGGAGTCTCTGTGTCCACTAACCCGGTTAAAGGTCCGGACATTCAGTTTTCGTCCTCTCAATTTTGTGAACAACACCCCCGCCACGTGAAGGCGAAGAGTCGGACTTCCGTGGCAGTGGCTGTATACGTGTTGCCATGTGACAGCATTTCGAGAGGGTGAGCTGACTCTCCCCACCTTCGGCCGTACCAGGGCATTTGGGGGCAATTTTCAGGTAGTCAACACTTCATATATCGCTTCCTTACAATCTTAAAAGGTCATTTTGAAGATCATATTTCATACATCTAGTTTCTAAAGAGATGGTTTACTCAAGTGATTAATTATCAAGAGTGGTGTTCGAAACTTTGATAGTGTTTGGTGAGATTTGGAATCAACTAAATCAATAAATTGAAAGTTCTACATAAACCACAAATCTCAATAACAAAATGTCTTTTCACCAAAGTCTAGACTAGAGAGGAATTCCGGAAGTTCTTTTGAGAATCTGTGACCACTGAGATTCACCCATGTTCAAAATGCGACAGATTCCAATGTAATGGGCGATGGCGGCTCTTTATAAATTGGTTGAGGTTTGAAATATCCACCAATGAATTCATACCAAGTGGTCGATAAGAATCATAATAATGAATGAAGGTCCTAGGTTAGTTCTCGTTTAAAGCAGTAGGTGAGTATTGCTGTTCAGCACCACCTGATTCGCAATAGTCCGCAATAAATATTACTACTTCAGACTTTTTAAAAATAACTATCTAATGTTCGCATGATCTGAAATTCTTGTTGTCTATATTACTCCATCAAGAAACGGAACAGCTATCCATAGCCATATCCTTATCGACTGTTATTCATTTGTGGATCATATCCCATAATACATATTTATCATATTAATCATTACCGTAGATTAAGCTAATTGTAATTACTCAGTACGGTTTACTAGTTATCTCATAATTAACTTTTTTGTATTTGAATCATCTTCACCACAGTTTTGTCAAATCAATAAATATGTTATGACTTAATATGTCTAACACACTCATAACCAGTTTTAAAATCATGAAAACGGGTTTTAGCAATAATTACTTTAAAAATGGAAACTTTAATTAGTGATGTGAAAAGTATTATTTAGTTGGCTAATTAATTGATCGATTTTAATTCCAACCAGAATTGGAGAACAAATTTGAAAAACGTATTTCCAATCAATTCTAGTGACATTCTTTGTATCTCTGTTCACTGATTCACAATACATTACAAACTTATGTACATACACCCACATAGGTGTATCTATACACATAACATCTGTACACAAATTCCACTTGTAAGTGTGCATAAATATGTCTATCACTACATCTCTATCAACCCTCATTTTACCCACAAGCCCAGAGATCACCCGCATATGTAGTTAAATATGTGCGTTTGTGTATGTGCACTAATCAATTTGAAACAGTCAAGTTGAAAAGGAAATGATACTAGTCTGTGCTTGTATCTCCTGTGGATTTAGTTGCTGTGGTCTATTATTTTTCACAGACGTGACCTCGGCCACATGATAATCAGGTTACTGGCTTGATACTCATTGATTACCACCCCCCTCTGCTCTAGAAACTTATTTATAGCTCTGGACGTGGGTGAACGCAGATGAAACATGCATAAACTTTCAAGCTGTCTCCCATTGAATTCACATTCCATTTTTTTGAGCTGTCTAAAGTCTGGGTTTAGCTCTGCCTTGGTCCTATCGATCCATGTGTTATAACTCACATGAATGGGTTGCTGTGTGTTCTTTAGAAATGATAATAAGGGTGGTAGCATCCCGATTCAGGAGAATGGCAGAACGGGAGTAAGGGTGATGGTGAGTTTGAGTGGGTGAGTACTTTGTAGGGGTGTAGAAAATTTTTGGGTGTGTGCGAGCGTATAGTCACCAGTTATATGAAGGCAGGAGCACAATAAAGGCACAATTCCATAAGGCCAACAACTAAATTGTAAATATTAGTGATTGCACACCAACACACAAACTGAGAATAATGGATACAGAGACTGATTTTTCACTCTCAAAGCTTGCTCCTCTAACCCGTGCACTGTCTCACAAATATACAGTACCCATTAACGAATGGGTTGTGCTGCCTAAATCAGGTTGAAGCTAGCTGTAACATAGACTAACAGACAGACAGCACACCCATCTGTCGATAGAGTAAAGTGGATTATTTGGCACTTCCGTCTATCATAAATCAGGGGACTGATAATTTAAGTTATATTTATAGAGACAGATTGGGACGTCTTACGTTTATCACGTTACAAACTGTACAAGAAAACAAAGACAACTATTTTGTGCATAAGTCAAATATTGGAATTCATCTTAAAATCGATAAAATATCAAACCAAGTGCTTGAAAATTTCCTATCGTATTAACAAAGTGAGTTCTTTATTGTGTAATATTCAGAATAATGATAATCAAACATTTGAATGTACGAGTTTAGATTTTCATCATAAACCGATAATATTCAAATATGTATTATAAATTAGTGAGTGGTACAAACTCATTAAGTTCCTCAAGAGGATTTTCGAGCTATACACATCTTGAATTCAAACCTAGATATATGAGTTTTCGAAAGAGATAATTTATTTTTTAAACCATAAAATTAAATTCTGCTCTAATATTTCCATCCTAATTCTCTGTAGAACTATAATATTGAGATCCTATGGGAAATTTAAGCATGATATAATGGTTAGAAATCGTTAGTAAACATAGATTTTAATAAATGTGCTTCTCGCCAGAAAATTGATTTATTTTTATAGAGATGATGATAAAAGTTGAATGGAAACGGAAATTAAGTTTCGACTCACACCACCTAACTTCATCACGTATCTAGTCAATAATTTAAGAAAATTGAAATACAGGAAGTATCCATTGGATTGACAGTCCGATTCCCTGAAGTAGTCTTATCTAATTAAGCATTTAATTTATAGATAAACAATTACTATTATATATATATATATATATATATATATATATATATGACTAGTCAAATATTGATATCTGCCTACCTCCGTACTCTTCCTAAAAGTTTTGTTTCGAATAATTACATACTACAAACTTTCCCCTATAGTTTAGATTGTCGTTTTATCAAAGTGAATAAATGATGTCTTTCATGATTTTCTCTGACATTTAATAATTTATGCAAACAAATAATGAAACGAATAAGTTAGGATCGAAAGGTGATTCATGAAAATTGTAATGTTTGTAATTGGTAGTCAAAAAATAATATTATTATTATTAATCAATCTGAAGGTATTTTTGATCAAAACTGGAGAACTACTTCTGTTTATGTGAAAGGTATCACGAAACAGCAGAGAGTTAACACGTCCTAGTTTAAAAGATCTTCATTTGAGAATATTGTTAGTTTGGTTACGATGTAATCAAATCTCGCGTTCAATATGTCACGATTCCGCAACAAATGTTTCATACCTTACATACTTAGCTAACGGATGGTATAGTCGATTATCACAGATGCCCATTAGGATTGTCACATACAGAAAGTTGAATATAACTATTGATCAGTTGATAGTTATGTCATAGTTTATGGCAAAAGGAATATTTCCATTCTCAATGACTATTGAATTCGTTAGAAATGAATACCAAATAAGTGACGAACGTGTAAACTGACGTTGAATCAAATTCTCATAGCTAGTAATGATGAAAATTGAGTTAACAGCCTACAATATGGAGTTAGTTATATAAATGAGTTGTTCATTTGTTTTTAGATGATTGTATATATATTAATGAAAAGTTACTAATATTTAACTATTTTTTTACTTTAATTAAATCGAGTTGTTTATATAAACTAGTAATCAAATAAAATTTCTTACGTTCGGTTCATACTTTTAACATTCGAATTAAACTTCTGTCCTTTAAGTGGGTGGCGTTTAACAGTGATTGAAATCAACTTAGATATAATCGAAGACCACGGAGCACTAGTATACAGTTCCTCAGGAATACTACTTGGAACCTACCTCATGTTTCGAGGAAAGAGCGTTATTCTTACTTCACTAAGATAATACCCTTATTTTAAACATGTCAGATTATAAAATTAGCTTAAAAAACTGACTTAACCACACAATTAATCATTTAAACCGGGTTACTATCTCTTAACTTCTTGAAATATTAGTCAGTATCAGAAAATGTTTTATAACTGTTGAGTTAAGCCTCGTTGGTTTTGAATTTTTACCACTAATGTGTAAGATTTACATTGTCCGGTAGGACATAGTGTCACTGTATAACTTGTAGGTAATGTCATTTTACAAATTATACAGTAATATTTGTTGGCTATTATTGAACATTTAAATGAGTCTATTTCAAAACCAGCATTATCTTGTAATGCTTAATGATAGGATTTTATCAAAAGTTTGGTACGTTGAGCTAGGCTTAAATTCATGACTTGTTAATTAAAAGTTAAAAATGTTTAGCACGTAATCTACCTCTATATAATTATCTATGTAATGTTAGTAAACAAGTTAATTTTCTTTTGCTATATAATTACATAATATCCGAAGTGAACAACATGAGATTTTATTAACTAGAAATTTTTCAGGGGTTTATAAAATTACCATCTTTTGCACTTATCTATATTAGTTCAAGTGTACAATAGGTTTGCTATGTGGACTGAAACGTAAGATTCAGTTTTAAGTGAACTAATGTTCAGATTACATTAAACCTTCAGATCAGAATGACAAATTAGTTTTACTTTTTGCTTGTAGTTTACTGGACAACGGAGTTGGACACCCAGTTTATGGCTGCAATTAATTCCATATTTATCTTTAGAATATCATAAAAATGTTTTGTAGCACAAGTTTGTTAACACTAAATCTGTGGTAAACAAATGTTTATGATCATCAACTTACAACACATCCATGGCATTTTGGTTTCGTTATTATTAACTGGTGATTACTACCTTATGATTACTGACTGTGAATAGAATAATGTACACACATTTAGTTTGTTTTAAATGTGATGTTGTTTCAATAATATGATGTAATCTGTAATCTAACTAGACATGTTTTTTAATGAATGCTTTATGTTATTGGAATCTAGTTACCTATTTTAAGCACTCTTACTTATGATGCTGAAATTTAAAACATAAGTTTAACTGATATTGGAAGTTGAGGAAAACTATAGTATTTTTGTTTATAATTATCTATAATGTTTTGTCTGACTGCTCAATAAATCAAAATTCACATTTCAATTGATGTCTAGTCACTTCTCAATAATATTGATTAAAATTGTGAACTAGTAAGTAGGTGAACATTACTTCTACCTTATTATGACTGAAAAATATGTGTACTGTTTTATTTAGATGCATATTTCAGTGAATTATCAACGTTTAATTGTTCTCAGATTTTATAAAATGAAGTGTAAACTATATGCATATCTATCATATTACTATTGATTAAATCTTGTAAGGATATCAAAATTACGGGATAATGTTGAACTAGAAATCTTTAGATGGGTGAAAGCAACATGATTAACGGATGCCAAATAATATATGTATTTCAAATAAAAGTTTCAATTCACACTAATGTGAAGGCTTCTTCTCAATATATTAAACATAAATGAAAAATACCAAACATCATCAATGAAGGACATTTTAGATAAATGACTGATTACTATTACTGGCCACTCTAACTTCTTAATATTTTCGTGGAAAGTGAATTTTACAGGAAGAGAGTAGCTCATTCAAGCAGATAAAAAAAATCGATCTCTAATATCTTTTGTAATTGAGAGATAAAATGAAGAGAAAATTTATTGATGCGTATATAATGTGTTAGACTATGATCATCAAATAGATGAAATAACTGGAGGCTCTATGAACTTATGGGCTAAAGGGCAACACCTATTAAGTAGTTCATCGATTGTCAGTCTGATACTTCTCTAGCTCTGAGTTAAAATGTTTGGGTTTTCTCTCAAATCATTCACTAATGCGTTCATTGATTATATAAGTAAAAAGATCACAAATCGATACTTTACGTCATACTACCTTTTGATGGTTTTACTACCTTTTAAATAAAGATTTCTCATTTCAAACCAATTCGAACTGAACTGTTTAGGAAAGATGATTGACTAATTAGTTAGAATATAGAATACCTTTACATGATCATAGTCTGATGATAAACATAAATGTACATAAATGGATGAGAGTAGAGTATGATGGAAACCCAAGTCACAACTAGATTCAAATCAATCGTATCTAAATTACAAATTCTATCCTATTGTTTACATTTTTTACAGATTAACTGATTCATATATAACATCTCAGTTGATTATGAAACGTCACACCTTAAACGTAACAATTAAAGCTGAGGACTGGAAAGTGTAAAATTACTACAAGACACAAATGTTAAAGGGAGATAAAAAGTAAATGAACCTACAGTACTGCAGCAAATCATCAACCATGCCGTTTCAGATATTTAGTGCTAGATAATGACCATCACACTCAGTCACGGTTAAAACCAATATTCAATAACTTCATGTCTGGTTGCCTTAGTCTTACTTGCAACCTCGTTCTGTGCTAGTATAGCGAAATAGTTTGAAGTTACTTTTGGATCCGATATATATTTCATTCATAGTTAAATAACATAAACAATAAAATTAATCAAATTAAACTGGCCAAGAGTTATTTATTATAGAATTTAAGGAACAAACTGAAAGTTTATTTTCTTCTTATCATTATATTGTTTGTGTCTTAAAAGACAAATAAGTATTACCAAGACTGTTCTTTACAGATTCACATTATATATTTCGTAGGTGATTTAGAGTTTGAATAACTGTAACTTATGTTTTTGATCGAAACACATCTAATGCTAAGAACTTCTAGCTCTAGAGCATAGAATAATGACCACAGGTTGAAGGTATTATCTGTCTACATTTGTACCGTTGACTATTTTCATGGCACCATAATTAATTTGATAAAATGCTGGTAGATTAAAGTGTTCGAATAGATGATTTACTTACAAAAATGGATTAATGATGCAGTTAATGATATAGTTTTTTCCATATATAAAATATTCAACCAGTTATGTGACTCGTTACACTACAACTATTAAACAAAGATCAACATTTCGTTTTGGTAGAACAATTTATCAGTAACTTGTGAAGAATTTTTAATATTCTATCTTTTTTTAATTTTGTCTTGATGATTTTGTTTATAAAAATCATGAAAGCCTCACAGTTCAAACATCTAGTTCGGACAACCTAAATTCACTACATTGAAAGTGAAAGTCACGAAACAGTGATGTTTCACATCTTCCTATCTTATCAGAGTGTATACTATTAATATCGTCCAATGTAAATGAAAAGGGGAAAGCCAAATGCATAGAAATTCTTATTTCTTAATCACAATTTATGACGAAAAATGTTCA